GGATGACTATCCCACGGTAAGAGCGTACCGGTTATTTGTATGCTGTACGTTTCTTTTATTTGCATGTTTCTGTCATCGCATTTGCATGTTTCTGTCATTGCATTTGCATGTTTCTGTCATTTGTATGTTGATGGTAACATCTTTGTCTGTTATGCCCACGGCTTCAATTACTTTGCCTCCACTTTTGTGAACATTTGGCCAGAAAAGCGGTATCGCCTACCATTATTTCTCTCTTGAACCTAACGCTGTGGCTTCTATGAACGTGTTGTTTGGCGCGCCGTCTTCGAAGGCGCATCGTGATGCATCGTGACCAGGAAGCTGCCATATGACCAGCACATGTCGAGTTGGGTCAGCGTGCGCAGTCACCGAATGGGCAATCCAACTAGTGCACAATGCCAAGACGTCTTCATATAATTTGTTCATGATTGTACCAGACATTTCAGGATTTTTAGTACAAAATGTTGTAAAATGTAGTATTTTTCTGCTTAAAATATTTTTTAGTAAATTTTTTAAAAATAAACATGGCTTGATGTTATTCTGCGGACCGGTGCCAACACAGTGTCGGGGTATGACGTCACGGAGAAGCAGCTGCTAGATCTGAATTTGATATGATTCCGTTACAGTGTAACGGTGTACGTTCTCCCCTGTCGTCAACAAGCTGTTCACCATTCTGCTACGCTCCTGTCACGTGGTTAACACCCTGCTGCTCATGATCGTGTGATCCTTTTGTCTCCAGCTCTTCATCGCTCTTCGTCTGTCCGTGCTTTTCGGTGGAGGAGTACCTATGGAGCTGTTGCCAGATCTCTTCATCTATCGCAGTCATAGTATAGTTATTTGACAAGGATTTGCTTTAATCTGATGAGTTCTGATGTACTTAGGGACATGTACTACAATGCTTAAATGCCCGTTGAATATTGGGCACTTCAGGTAACTTGTACTTACACTTTAAGGCACTTAGCGCACAGGCACCACACACACACACACACACACACACACACACACACACACACACACACACACACACACACACACACACACACACACACACACACACACACACACACACACACACACACACACACACACACACACACACACACACACACACACACACACACACACACATATATATATATATATATATATATATATATATATATATATATATATATACCTACGGTAAGTGCCCTATAAGTGCAAATGAACGTGCCCGAAAGGGCCCTGTATGCGTAAGCCGTAGATGCCCTATTGCACTTAATACGCCAACTATTCTGCCACTTAACGACTAAGTGAGCGACGGCGGCTATCTCGTATTAAATCCACTTTGTATAGGGTTACTTATGTACCCTGTATTAAGTGTCACTATATACAGTCGCTCAAAATATTTATCCCGCAGGCACGTTAAGATGCTGCTGAATTAACCATCACAGAATCAATTAAAAACAAAACCTCAAGCCTACACTGAACGTCATGACTTCATCCTAGGGCCTTTCGAAGACTACTATGTGGCACCGTCTGATAATCCAATTTGCTTTACTCAACGCAATAGAAGTGTTCTTAAAATCCTATCAACCCTCTGAGTCATCAAGCCGTTCATGTCTAGCGTTCATGAGCATGGGTTCCAGGCATAATGAACGCTAATTGGCTCTCAATCAATGTTAGGCAGGCCACGCAAAGTTCAATGGCGATTAGCTGTCTGGATGAGAGCCATTTTGACCAGAAATGCTTATTTCAGGGCTGTGGGAGGAAGGAGAACGAATAACGGCGGGCCAGGTATGCATGCGCCTCAGGAGCCTCACGATGAACCTTAGCCTGCGCAGGGAGCCCCAGGAGGGGGCGCTGGGTGCCCGGTAGGGGCCTTCTCCAGGGGCTGACGCATACGACCTGCCCCGGACAAGCGCGCCGTCGGGAGGGCTCAGGATTGAGGAAAAGGATAAGAGATAAGAAATAATAAGAGAAGAACAAGGACAAAAGGGTGAATAGTCTAATGACGAATTACGTTTTGTGGTACCTAAAATAGAAGGTTGGACATGGTTGCTAGTTATTACGGAAATAAGACCTGTATCGAATACGTTATGAAAACACTATAACTGACTGCATGACTGCAAATAAAACCTAACACTCCCGGATGAACACGCAAGAACGCCACGAGAAAGAGCCAAGACATAAGCATCTACGACCATTCATGCAGTTATCACCCAGGACCGCCACGGCCACCTGCCTGGATATTGAAGTACTGCAAGTAAGTACCAGGGGGTAATTTCGCACAGCTAGTTCGGCAGCACCTCAACGTCATGCAAATGTTTCATGACGCAATCAGACAATCATGCATTGCGGAGCGTATTTACTTTAAAAAATACATTTTGCTATCTAAAGCAGTTTTTCCAGTACAGAGTATACCAGCAGTGATACGTGAGCTTATTGCATCATATTTGAAACTTGCTTCAATACTTTCAAATTTGGGAACAGTCACTTTAGAGCGCTTCCGGACGCTTCGCATCGCCTCGCACAATATAGGCGCTTGAAGGGGTTTTGCATGATTGGCAGATGATGAGCCACACAATATTTTTTGTCTGACACTTTCCCACCATGTGTTTTATATGACACTTTCCCACCCCCATGCAGGAACTGCATGGTCTTTCGTCGTGCGGTTTGCACGACCCACGAGACCGGCGGGAGACGGGGTTAAGAACTACTCCCACCCGAGTTTTGAAAAAAGATCCCATGTGTGCTAGTTAGGTCCGCCAAACCTACACTGGTGAATACAATGTATTTGAAAGTGTAAATTCTTAACTTTACAACTTAAAAATTTACAAATGTACAACTCACAAATTATAAACCAGAAGCAATACATTTCTTGTAATAAAAACTTATCATTATATATAATTACATATATTTTATATTATTATATATACCATATACATATAATTAGAACACAAGTTTGAAATAACAAACTTATCAATTTACATCAGCCTGACCAGCGACCACAGACACTGCGTCATGCCATTAGTGGGGACCTGCACAATGTTGTCCTGAATTCATATAATCCATCAGGTGAGTTGACTGCCAATCAATCTAGGTAAGTGATGATATGCGATATCACATTAAGTCACCATCAGGAGTATATGAAGTTAGCCTAAAGGAAACGTCGGACCCAAATTATTGACCACACACACCCTTGATCAATACGTTAATGAAACAAACAAATTTCCTCGCCAACGAACTCTGTATGTCATACCAACCTGAAGAGTGGAAACAAAACTTCCGTTAAGCTAATCTGACCTCGATCGGATGTGACCTGACCTTGATCCTTGACCCTTATCAAAATCATAGTAAAATTTGAATGTATTAGAGCGCGGTCTGTCTTTTGGTGCCGGATACGATCGTCAACTAATCTTACGTTTGCTAGAAGGCTCTGAAATCGTCCGAAGCTTTTTTTATTTCGTTCAGTCTTTTACGTGAAATCGTCCGAAGTGATTTTTAGGAAACTCGACATGATCTGTGACATCGTCCGCCACGTGGCCAACGCCGCCGTGACAGCCTTTGGCTGCGATGAAACAGGGACATAGATTGCCGTTTATTTTCCTTCGATCGGACGATTACTGCATGAACTACCAACCTGTGGGGATACTTTCAACACCCAACGCACCTTACCCTAGACTTTGCCAGGATCACCCGGGGTTCACAGGTGCGGCGGATCATCAGTGCACAGAGACGCTGCGCACAGGGTAGACAGCCATGCGCGGCCGGAGACGGGACCACCCTGTGCCAGTCACCATCGGCCCCTCCGGCGACACTGGCGCCCGATGAGGACGCTCACTGACCTGAGACCGATAACAGCGGCTTCCGCGGCGAAAGCCATCAGCGCTCGAGTGACGTGGGCAAGCTGCAGGCTGGCAGGTCAAATACCACGGAGCCCAAAAGCCGATTCGTTCCCACGGCAGGCTCCGCTGGCCAAATTGGATGCGTGTGATTGTTTGCGATCGTTCGCGAGAGATCAGGGTCTGGGAGATCTACTGAGCGGCTGCAAAGTATAATTTTCCAACCGAAGTACGACCTTGGACGCTGTGCATTGTCGACCATGGAGTCTACGTCACGACATGCAGCTTTCTTTGTTGCAGCTACAGAGACTGGCAGCGGCTGGCATACAATCAAGCTGGTCACATGTTGGAAGAACCAGAGAAAAAGCTGCTTGATGTTTCGCAAGGTCACACCCTTTGATGACGGTTCAGTGGACATCTACCACAGATGTCGCTGCTCAGTGTAAAAGCACGATGCATAACATCCATGCTTTATTGCTGGCACCGGCGCGGGTGCCATACAAAATTTGGGGGCCTGAAAGCATCGCGGTTTTTGTTCACACCTTTACTCAGTCACTCCCTCCAAATGCATCGCTTTTTAAATGACTAATGAATTGCGAGGGTCTTTGGCTGGTGCGGAACATATAACAACCAGAAATAGCCTCGCTGTAGTCGGTTCCTTCAAACCCATCGCTTTTTAAATAAATAACGAATTGCGGGGTCTTTGGCTGGTGCGGAACGTAGAACAAGCCAGAAATAGACTCGCTTTCTTTAAGTATTTTCATGTGCGAGCTACGGGCCGGATCTTCAACACATGCAGACGCTATCCTGCTTACAATGCAGTCTCGCCCAGCCGCGTATTATCTTTCACACCGGTGCGTCTGAGGCCGGGAAGGCAGAAAGCCTTCTTTCATAAATCCTGCTTTCTGACGTGACTGTATATATTTTCCTGCTTGAAAGGCCTGCTGCGCAGGGCGCCAAAAATTAACTAATCAAATCGAACAAGCTGGCGCAAATGATGACCAAGAGCAACAATGGACTTGAACGTTAATTCCATTGCGATAAGCGCTGTCCTCCATTTTTGCTCTGTGTGCGTGTCATTAAATATTTATGACACTTTCAGATGCTGTGGCAACATGGCATCGCCTGCCTCTAAACCTGGCAGGAAGGGCGGGAGCCGCCGGGATTCGAACCCCGCACCTCCGGTTTCCCACACACGCAGCTTAACACCTCAAGCAGCATCGGTACCGCCCACCGCTCTGTGCAAACGAACATTGAACCTGCGACTGTTTTGAACTGACTTACAGACCGCCGAGCATTCAGGAGCCAAAAATGTGCACACAGCATATTTATTTAAAATGATATTACAGGCAACGCACATCAATTAGATTGACAATCAGCTGATACAAAAATTACCGCGGGACAGTCATTTTACATCTGCGCACGAGCATTGCGAAACCGTTCTTCCGATGGTGGTACTGGATTGTTGGCGAGCGAAAACGATTACAGCTGGCGACCTTACGGGTTTGTGCGAGTGAGAACATTAGGAGGATTAGTAGCCTCTCATTGGGGGTCCGAGTGGCGTGCCGACAAGGAGGCTTGTATTTTAAGCGTTTGCAGTTTGTGCGCTACCGAATAAATGGGGCGTGGGTGGGAGCTGAAGCCGGGGGGGGGGAGGGGGGAGGGGGGGGGAGCAGGAACACCGCTTGCCGTCAAGGCGGTCAGCTCATCAGTAAAGAACAGTCACACACGCCAGACGATTCGGCGGCACTGGAAAACCGCAATGTCGTGAAAGTTCGACCATCCGCTTGCCCCGTACCTTTGGCGTCCTACAGGTACGGGGCAAGAGGGCATCACCCTCGTCGACAAGTGATATTGCGACCTTACGCCTCTGACCTGTACGCGTGCCTGAAGCCGACGCGTGCAGCCGACGCGCGCCATCAGCAGTGATAGAGAGCGACGCTAAGCGGTGACATCGTACTGGGACACACAACCAGCCAGGGGTCACACACCGAGCGGTGACATCATACTGGGACACATCACCACCCGGCGGTCACACACCAAGCGGTGACCTCATACTGGGACACATCACCAGCCGGCGGTCACACACCACGCGGTGACCTCATACTGGGACACATCACCAGCCGGCGGTCACACACCGAGCGGTGACATCATACTGGGACACATCACCAGCCGGCGGTCACACACTGAGTGACGGAAATACAGCTCGTCACGAACACTTCTTGTCGTCTCATGAGGCCTAGCGAGTTTATCATGCGGTGAAATGCCCTCCCCCTCGCTGTCCCGGCCGGCTTGGGAAGTAGGGAGTGGGCTGCCACACTTTGGGAGTAGGCTGCCCACCGCTTTGGGAGTGGGCTGCCACGAGTCGTCCTGCCCCGCCGTCCTGAGGGACATTTTGTGCAAACGGAGGCACGTCGAAAGCGGTACAACCTCCGATGAGCAGACCTCCACTTGGCAAAACGTCTAAGCATTTGCACGGTGAAACAGTGACACATTCAACCGTCCGCGTGACAAAACAGTGACACATTCAACCGTCCGCGTGACAAAACAGTGACACCTTCAACCGTCCGCGTGACAAAACAGTGACACATTTAACCGTCCGCGTGCCAAAACATCTGTACGTTTCAACATCCAGAAGTACAAATATCTGCACATAAAATGTGCACGCATCCACCAATCGTACGTTCAACGTATACATGTCCAAATACAACGTGGTACAGATGACGCAAATACACATATTTCCGCCGTGCGTTTACACGTGCGGGCGTGTCCAAGTGTGCTAACCTCCAAACCTGTCCGTGTTTAATTATATTGTGTCTTGGCGTATGCGTGCGTCCTTGGGAACAGGTGTAAGCGAATGCGGCTTGTAAACGTCCACAAAATATACGCCTAAAGACGCAGGCGGACACAAAACGCAACGTCGCGTGCAGGGGCCATTGGTACAACGCGCACGACGGTGTCCAGCGTACGGTTCCCTCGCAACCTTTTACCAGAGCACGCAGCTGTGTCCGAGAGCGTGCAGCGTTCTGATGCGCGAGCTCGCGGACAGTCGTCACAAGGGCCGCTGTCAGCAGGTGAGAGCGTTCCAGAGCGTCCAGCACGCGCTGTCACGAGAGATCGGCGACCAGGTGATGAGGTCGCACGTCCGGTGTCCGCGTGACGCTCGCGTACGCAGCATGGCAGCCCTGAACACGTGACAGGCGAACCCCGGACCCCCCCCCCCCCACACACACACAGACATCCCCTCAAAGATTTCACCGGATCTTCTATTCGCCCGGCACGTGGCTTGGTGGCGTAGCATGACCCCAGGGCACGGCTCAGGTCTTGGCGTCTCATCATTTTACGTTCAGCTGTCTCTTGGCTCGGGCCCTGGTGTCTTGTTGTGCAAGTCCTGGTGCCTTGTGACCACGGTTTAGGTCCTGGTGTCGCGATGAGGTACGATGCAGGATCTATTGACACGTGGCTCAGATGCTGGAGTGGATGGCCAGGCATCTCGTGATCTCGGGCGGGTATCTCGTAGCTCGGGTTCTGCTGTCCCGAGATGCAGTGCCGATATCTCGTGACTCCTGTCCCGCTGTCTTGGGACTCAGAACTTGGTATTTTGTGACTCAGGCTTGCTTTCAACCACGACTTAAGTCCTGGAGCCACATGCCGCAACCGCTCAAATCCTGGTTTCTCACCCCTCAGGCCCTGGCACTCCAGTGACTCCGATCCTGACGCCCCATGACTCAGGTCCTGGCACCCATGACTCAGGTCCTGGCACCCGGAGCTAGATCCTGACGCCCCACGACTCAGGTCCTGGCACCCACCACTCTGATCCTGACGCCCGGAGCTCAGATCCTGACGCCCCATGACTCAGGTCCTGGCACTCCTTGACGTGGATCTTGGCAGTCTATGACTCAGATCCTGACGCCGCACGACTCAGGTCCTGGTGTCTCGTGTGGCCTTGGTCCGCGCGCCGTGCCGGTGGGAGTGACCGTTCAGGTGCTTCAGTCGCCGCAGGGTACTACTGCCCGCACGGAGCGTCTCTGAAACAACAGCGTCTGGTCACTTCATGGCCGTGGGCGTCTATGCGTGCGTAGCCAACAGCCTCCCTCGCGTGTTTAAAGTTGGTCACCCCAAGTGCCGCGCCGGATGAACGGGCGACGCCCCGCTAAAATGTCTTTTCACACACGCACGCATGTTTATGTCGGTTCTTGACACAGCTAACAGTTTTTGGTTCCAAACCGATGCGGCAGGTGGACAACTTGCGGCAATCTGGCGCATATGAACGCAACGTTGAGGACACACACGTGGGAGGATGCACAGCGGCTCACGTTGAGCAACACACCAGCTTTGAGGTCGCTGGATCCCCGGCAATGCGGACTTGGCTGCGGCGGTGTTTCCAGAACACCCGATCACGACTTCCTGTGCGGGAAGTCGTGATGGCTAAGCCTGAGTAAACTGTTGCACAGAACCAATCAGGCCACGATGGTCAGGAAGTCCTGAATGTTAAGCCCGGGTAAGCAGTCACACAAGATTGTATCTGATCGGGGCCTAAATGAAGTCTCGAACGTTAAGCCCGAGTCAGCAGTCACACAACATCCGTTTCGGGCAATAACAGACCGTTTCTCGTTCAAAACTGTTCTTAGTCGACACGCGGAGTAACTGACTGGGCTGAAGAGAATTTCGTACCGGAAAACAGTTAAAAACAGCACGCAAAGTTTGATATCCAGCACATGGTGGCTTGGAATTGACCGATTCCGATCAATTTGGATGCGCGTGGAATCTCGCTAAGTCAGGCACCGCGCATGATATCGCATTATACATGTGTGTACACACTTAAGGAGACGTTATCTCTTGTCTATACAGTGGCACGCGATGAAATAAGAATGAATTCCATTCACAGTACAAGCATGGAGCGCGTTGCAAATATGCTACCGTAGCACCACAATTAGTTGTTGAGCGGTGCCATGACATTCCAACAGCAGTGCGGGTTCTGGCGGAACTGACGGACGATACGTAAGCGATAGATACGTAAGATACGTAAGATGCGATACGTAAGATACGCATCACATGGAGCGCGCCAAAAATTTTGAGGTCAAGGTTACTGCAGGTGATGCTCGGTAAGATCTCTTTAGAACGCACGTATAATCCGCAGAGGGTTTTACTGCGGAGAGGTTTGGGTGACGCACAGTGCTGCAGCGCGGCCTCTCCGGGTCCGGGCTGGCCATCGTTGATCAGCTGCCACCTGACGTTTCCATGCCAACCGGGTCAAACAATCCCCTTACTTTGGGACTCGCGTCCAGTACCGCGGGATGCCGAGTTTACAAGCTTTCGACCAGACCAAAAAGGCTGCAATTTGTGATTAACAGCACTCTGAGTGGCTGAGGATGCTCAGGCACGAGATGCCATCCTCCCCACATATGTGCCGTTGTTTAATCAATAGCAGGATGAGGATGGTGTAGCTCATGAAAAGCACTGTGAAATCACAGCATCCCAAGGGGTGCGAGTCCATCCCTTTCCACCAGCTACTGTTTCCTCCACAGCAATCACCGCGCAAGATTACAACGTTAACCACCACAGCCGTTCCTGCTGCGGTAAAATGAGCCGCTCCACGGGCGAGAGGCATTTTAAGCCGACACTGGCGGCGCTCATGGCTTCCTCGTCCGATCCATTAAGCCCCACCATTTTCCGCCGCTGACCGCTAATCGGGGCGTTGCGCCAGCTCAGCGGACGGACCTGGGCGTGCCGCTGGGGCCGTCAGCTGGGCCGAGCTCGCTACGCGTGCCATTAGTTGGGGCCAGGGGGTTGAAGTTGACGTCGGGGGTCAGATAAAGTCAAGGGTGCTGGCGGCTGAGATCAAGGGGTTGACAGCTGAGGTCAAGGGGTCGCAGATGGGGTCAGGGGCGGCAGCTCAGATCGGGAGTCGCAGCTGGGGTCAGGAGGTGGCAGCTCAGATCAGGGGTCGCAGCTGGGGTCAGGAGGTGGCAGCTCAGATCAGGGGTCGCAGCTGGGGTCAGGAGATGGTAGCTCAGGTCAGGGGTCGCAGCTGGGGTCAGGGGATGGAAGCTCAGGTCAGGGGTCGCAGCTGGGGTCAGGGGGCGGCAGCTCAGATCAGGGGTCGCAGCTGGGGTTAGGAGGTGACAGCGCAGATCAGGGGTCGCAACTGGGGTCAGGAGGTGGCAGCTCAGGTCAGGGGTCGCAGCTGGGGTCAGGGAGTCACGACTCGGGTCGAGGGTAGCAGCTGAATGCGGAATGCTCGCAACGAATGCCCGGGAAGCTGCGGCCTTTCGCGCCATGCGCTCGCGCCATGAGTCTAAGGAAGCATTGCCACGTCTGATCTCGGGGTGAGACCCCAACACCGCGTATGCAAAACATGCAGCTTCCAAGCCCAAAATGGCAGATCACCATGCATAGCCAAGCATACATGCGAACGAATCCGGCATGCGCTCAGCGTGTAAACGTCAGTTATGTATCTGAACATGCTTGAAATACTCTGTGAAGTTTCGTATTCATGGGCTCGCATGAAGCGACACTTCTGGACCGGACCCCGTTCATGCTGGTGGTGCGATCACCATCATGTCTGCTGTAAATGTCTGCATCACCAGTTAGTATCTGTAATTCGTTTTACATGTTGGCTTAAGGTCAGGTGAATGACTGTAATCGTGATGGGAAGAATGGTTTCTTTCATGGATAGAAACGGTTCTCATCATGTTTTTAAACGGTGTATAGGATATTTTGGATGCAGGGCTTCATAATTTCCACGACGTCGATTTAAATGTGATGTGATTGGTTGCGCTGATTGCGATAGCAATGGCGATTACTCGATCCGGCTCGGTGTTATATATATATATATATATATATATATATATATATATATATATTGTGCATCACCAAATGCTGGGGTATCCCTGTTGCCTCAACTCGCGAGTCTGGATGACATCTGGCCACAACTCTTTTTCATCTGGGAACACGGCTTTAAACGCGGGCGGGAATGTTTTACCAAATCACGCGCGAGCAGTTATCCCGATAAAAATACGATTGAAATTTGCAGAAACTGATTCGGATAGCAATAATTGCTCTGGACGCTCCGCAACCACTCAGAGTAAGAATGGCGCATTTTTGAAAAGTTTCGTTATTGATTATGGAGGTGGTTGCGGGTGGCGGATGTACAATACAACTAGAATGAAAAAACCCGTGGATATCTCCCCATCATCTTCTTGTTCAATGTCTTAACCTAAAAATGATGGACAGAATAGCTTTACATCTCTCTTTAAGTTCCATCTCACAAAAACAGTCTGGTAAAAAGATATCTCGCTTCAGGCTGAACAACCTGTTCAGGACCTTCGACACTGCGAAATTTTTGCCCTCGATCCTTGGTCTCAGGCAGAAAATGCAACAGTGACTCAGCCCTGTAAAGGTATGTATCCGGCCCTGTGTTTGTATGTATATATATATATATATATATATATATATATATATATATATATATATATATATATATATGCATATAACCGCACGCTCGTGTAAATGTTATAAGTGCACTATGGCATATGGTACTGGATCATCTGCTAAAAGCTGTTATGCGAAGGTAAAACACTATGCCAAACTTGCCTCTTGGACAACATTCTACCACAAAATTTGTTGTAGAATGTTGTCAAAGTGTCAATGTGGCTAACATGATGTTTAATATCACGTCCTAGAATGGCGAACATCTGATAAATTGAGATAACCGTCCTGGTCCTAACTGATTACGCAACCTTGAAACCAATGCTTTAAACCTTTGTAAACTGCATGATTGCCATAAATTACAGTGAAGTGTCTCGGCACCTTACAGCCGAGTGATTGCTCAGTTACATTACACAAAATTCAGTAAAATTCAGCCAAGTTCAAAGCTCGAAACACGACACGCTATAAATACAAACGCCAAGCCACATGAACTGTTCCTATAGGCCAGATGTAAAGTTCGTGGATAACCCAATAGATAAGTGGGTATTCCATAACATTTGATCTATCCTGGAAGACAATCAATTTCGAAAGAGTTATATACATGCCTGTAGGAACTGTATACGTTCATGGCTGTGCATGTGGTGGCATACATATACATATATATATATATATATATATATATATATATATATATATATATATATATATATATATATATGAGATTAGCTTGTTAACAACGATATTAGTTACATGCGCTGGTATAGCGTAAGGGTTACTCCAGTCCATGTATTTGTACATAGCGTGTAACCCTCCGCGAACAAACTTGCCAACCCAGGACACAATTCAAGACGCTGTCGACAGCCCAGACACTAGAACTACAAAACACGGAGACAAAACAGACGCTGCACACCCAGACGTCACCACAGCGCGCTACAAACTACAGCTCTGACGTGCGGGCGTCGGCGAGCGATGCCTGACCCCGGTGGTCGGGCGGTGACCCCTACCTGGCCTGACCTGACACGGCACGCCAACACCTCACGTTCAGATGTACGTTTTGGAGGTGGCATTGGGTCGGGTAACGCTTGACGTGACCGTGGCTCGCGTGCCGACCGATCGGCCGCGCGGCTGCAGCTGCACCCCTGTGGAAGCAGACACGGCCGCCGCTAAAGCTCGCCTGCCGAGAGGGCGGTGCGCTGGGCTCGGCACCGGCCGGACGTGGGTTCGATTCCAGTGAGGCTCACTGTTTTAGCTCACGGACCGGAAGCAGTGTGCGGGTGTCATATGAACGATTACGTAGCAGCCAGTTCTGCTGCAGCGCTGAATGGTCCAATAACCGTGACCATGAGGTATGGAGCATATCGAGGATCAGACCACTTCACAGATTTAATTTTCAGGATCTGGTCCAATCCAATCCGGCTATTCCAGGTCTAATCCGCCCGCGAATCCGCTTTTTCCCAGATTTTTCCAGCCAATCCAGCCCGGTCAGCCTTACAGAAAATAATCAAATGAATCTGTGCCACGTTTCCACATTCAGAACTTAAAAAATGTAACGGCATATTTGGTCCATCTGAACATTGAAATTTGAGAAATTTGTTCATTTTCATCGCAACAATTGTACACCACTACGTTGCCATTACCCAGTAGGCGCTAAGATGTTTAACGCAGGTTGTTGCCGGCTAGGATCGCAATTTAGCATGGATAATAGAACAAGCGGTAAAACACTATATTGTCCATCACGTCACAAAAATTTTGACCAATATTTCACAATCACCACCACGTCATAGGGGCCAAAATCACCTCTGGTTTCAATAACCTAAAGGCATGAGCGCAGTGCTTAACATGTTCAGGCTCCAGCATAAGTGCAACATACCTACACATACCACTAGGTTTCAGCGGCAGTCAGTTTACAAACGCAGGACGATGCTCACCTAGCCCGCCTGCTGAATAACTAGAATGCCAAACTCACCTCATGTATGATACTTCAGGTGTGTATGCATCCTCGGACACACCAATTAATGAAACAACTTCGACTGCGGCCATTATTTCCGGCTAGATTACTGGCTGCGTTAACATCATAATCCAGGCGTGCGACTGTCCAGGGCCTAGGGCACCTGTTCTTTCATGTATGGGATGAAACAGATGCGCCAGTTTCGAATCCCACCGCTAAAATGCCAGATGCTGCTAAACCTCCTGTTTTTTCGCTCGTGGGAACAAGAAAGCTATTTTTGTTTGTAATCGTGCATTTCACAGTTACATGAAGTCACATTCACAAAGTCATAAAGAATGTCCGCGTTTTTTTTTGACAAAAGTACGTAACTTGGCATTCGTTGTTTTGTTTTCAAGGCGCTAGTAAAGTATCCATGCTGTTTTGTTACATGGCGCAGCATTTAAGTGTAAGTGTGTAACGACTCTCGTACACCGTGAGTGCCTTAAATACAAATATAGAACCCTTTCATGTTTAGCAAACGTGATGCAAAAGTTAGGTGTATACTTATCGCCTATCATCGGACATCTGTCGTGACAGCGGCGCATTAACATCTCATAAATATACTGGCCACTTACCACGGGCTCTGGAGATCGCGCCAGCTTCTCCAAATCTCGCCAAGTCTTCAGTTGAGGTATAAATGAACGGTCTTCACTTGAGGTATGAATAGATGGGTGGCATGTTTACCCACGTTAATTTCCTGACTTTATGTAACGTTTGTTGAACCTTCCAAATCATTACAGGAGGATCCCAGGCACGTAAATGTTATGTTGTGTGTCATTGGGGCTTTACGACGCACTCAGCTGCTGGGGCTATATGGCGTGGCCTGCCTCTTACCCTGGCAGGAAGGGCGGGCACCGCGGGGATTCGAACCCCGTACCTCCGGTTTCCAAGACGCGCAGAGGTTAACGCAGCCACAGACGTTAACGCAGACGCGTAACCGCTACACTACCGGCACCCTGCAAATGTTATGTTGACGTCCACTTTGTGCGTAGCTTATGCAAGCGGAAATGGAATAAATATGACACAAATCAACGAGCACCTATTCAATGCCAAAGACTTTTCGTTGGATGCAAAGGGTACCTAACTCACTCATTCGAGGTACCCCAATTTTTGAGGGAACGGGCGATTAAACAACTGTGACGATGCAACAGTCTGTTCTGGCAGGCGCCCGCAATGGATCAGCTGAAGCGCTTAATTTGTTTAATTTGATTTCGCCTTGGCCTTGCTTAATTTGAAGCTGATGTTCGCTCCATGCATTTGGCTGACTGACCAGGTGAACAGAACCTATCGTGGTGCTCTGGAGTTGCCTATTCTAAATTTTTCAGAAAGGACTTTGAGATTTGAAAATTCTGCGGTGTACTTTCTGTCAATAAAACACGCTCCTGTCCCGTGTTACAACTCTGGAATGCAGTGTTACCCAAAGGGTTCAAATGATATTGCTGTTAACATCAGAAGGAATAGTAGCTAAGAGATGTTGAGATAGCGTATCCGATCAGTATTTAATTTAGTTACTTTGGATGGTGTGGGAGCTATTGCTTTTCCTAGCAGCATATCTGAGAGTCACCCATTTATATCAAGTTGTCAGTGCGATCTTTTCATCAGAACATTTGTTTGTGAAATCTGTGGCTGAGTTATGTTGTATGTAGCCGGTTTGTGCATTACTGAGAATTGAACGTATTGTCTTTTATTGGTTTAAATGCTACCTCTTGAGGGATTAGTTAGTGACGGTTTCCAACAGAACGATTTTCAGTCCGCTCAATTCCTGCGAGTTGGCAGCTTTGAAAATCCGGTCCTGGCCCTGATCCATGCTTTGGTAAAAACTTCTAATCAGGGCTAATTCAGGCCGCGGATTGAACCACAATCCTTGAATTTGTTTACTCGTCATGATGGGTTCGATCTGTTCACTGCTCGAAGCGAATGTTTCACATTTGAAGATACTGAAATTCCCTCACACTCACTTCAATCTCAATCTCAAACATTCAATCGAACTTCAATCTCACAGCACTCACTTCAATCTCAATCTCCCAAAAGGTGGCTGCGGTGGTGGGATGCATGCTAAACCAAATATCGTTAGGCGCTCGTGTTTTGGTCCTTTCTCGCGGTTTTGTATATTTATCCGTGAGTCGAAGGTTTTGTCGAACTTTTGTTCTTTTTCGAACTTTTGTTCATATGTTCATTTTTAGTGTTTTTTTAAGTTATTCCATGGCAAGTTTTATTCCCTTAATAAGAAGGAATAATGCTGAACTTCTGGCTTATATAGCACAGAAAGTAATTCGTGTCAGAAAATTACACAGCCCGCGCGACTTTGATTGACAGCCAACTGACAGTCGTTTTATCTGGAAATCACGGTCGCGAACGTCGGAGATGAACAAATCGAAAATCATATTTTTCTAGGCCTGTAGCACCGCATGGCTAATGAGATGGCAGGATTTCAATAAAGCCGTTATGCCATTATGGATGCCTAGGTGACCTTGAAAAAGTCTGCGCGAAATAGTTCACACATTTTTGCGAACGTGTAACCCATAAGCCATAGGGTTTTAGGCACTGAAAAGTGTAGAGCTGCAACTGCAGCGAAATATCTTCAAGATGGCTATTTTAGTGCAAAACCCCATTCAACATGGAACATTTCCTTTAACTGAAATAATTCAGTCCCATTATAACTCAAGCTTCCAGCACGCACGCACTATTTCGGTCGATCCGATTTTTCCCCAAACATAGGAAGTGGAAGCTGTTGAACAAGTGACGTCACGTTTTTACATATGAATCATCGTTTACAATGGTTTGGCGTCAACTACTTCATTAGCACTGATGTGGCGCAATGTTCTGCGTAAATAATTTGACTACATTTTTCCCCAGACGAGGCGACACAGACCGCCCCGCCGTCCCCAACTTGCCTGGACTTGTGGTTCCTCTGGACGTTAACGCTAGCGTGTGAAACAACATGTCCAACAGTTGCGAAGATGTCGGCCTCGAAAATCGTTCAGCTGGACCGACCGTACCGAAGCCGTTGAACTTTGCGGAGCCGTCTCGCTGCTCGCTTGCAAGCAGGACCAAAAAACTGCTGTGGCAATGTTCTCAGCAGACTATCAACGTGGATCAAAAGAAATCCATGGTCGCGAAGAGTGTAAGTGGTCAGATGTGTCCTGAAGAGCGGTAATCATGTCCTGTTCAGCACGCTAAACACTCGTCCGTTATAGACGTGTGAAAGAGCTGAAATGGGATAACTTTTAAGCCAAATTATGTGGGTCTCATGAATAAGGAATGACTAAATCAAGGGTTCAATGACCCGCTGGTGGATAACTACGTCGTGTCCCAACATTAACACGCGACCGCGTGGCCGGTTGCATGCCCTTTGCTCGCGTGGGGGTCAATTTGATACCCCGCTGAGATCTCAGGAATTAAGAGGGCTAGAGGCACACAATTTACAGGATGTATCAGCCGATACGTGAACTCACTTAGCTCAACGTTTGAGCCTCCTAGATTATGACCTTCGGGTCAAATAAGTCCAAACTAAGTTCAAACTCCAAGCTGGTCTTCAGTGTCCTCAGAACCTAGATACCTGTTCTAAACAAAAGGTCACATGCTCATTCAAGGTCATTGACCTTGTTTGACCTTTTGAAGGTCATGGTGACCAAAATAATAGAATACTGCTTTGCGTTTCGCATTTGAATAAACAACAAAGATTAAGCTAGGCAGTATGTTCCTAAAAACGAAGTGCTGACCTGGGTTATTTCAGGTTAGTGATCTTTTATGACCTATAAGAAGTTCACCGAATATGTCTTATGCGGTTCCTTGCATCAATGAATTTGAAATGAGCACGAAAAACCGCCCCACACAGCAAACCCTAGAGTAAAAAAGAGGCTGGTCCTGACCTTGGTGTGATCTTCATATCTCAACTAGGTCGATGGAATATTGTTCATTCATTTGTTGTGTTGTATTATAAAATATCTCAGAGATGTATGGCTTCGTCTAACGCCCCGTTGTTCCATCAGATTGAACGATTTCCTTGAAATTGACTTTGCTGAATCCATAGCGACCTTACAAGGTATATCCAATGTTGTGATACCACACGATCCGCTATTCAATTGTCTACAGTTATCCAAAATTTCGCGCGGCCACACCGCGCCGTTCAGAAACCATTCGAAAAACCCT